TACCAACCTTCGAATCTCTTCACCCAGCACTCACTCGAACTGGAAGTAAGCTCAACAAACATCAGAATGTTGATCTAGAGCTAACTATAAGTCAATCATTCGCTCGTTTATCGAAACGTTAGTGCACATAGAGACTACATCAAAACTTACCAGTAAATTGCCCGTCTGCTCATTAACTAACTTTCTTAATTTTTCGTTAGTTTGTAGGTCATCAAGACCACCAGTAAATCAGATTTGTAAGTTGTTTTCATCTATTTTCGTAAGCACAACAATTATGAAACAATTTTTATCGCATGTAGTAGTTATGCCGATTTTCCGCATCGGAATGTTCCGAGTTCACGCAGTACGAGGCTGGAAGTGAGTAGAAATATTTCAGCAGACGACATCAGAAGACTGGCAACCGGACCAAATAGCGCAAACGAGGTCAAACCAGTTCAGAAGTTGGCAAAACCTTCGCGGTCAAGCCTCAAAGCATCGTCGATCTCGTCAAACCCGCGCGGCAACCGAGCCATGCCGATACGATTCGAGCGAGTTATGTCAGATTGCGGCGGCGATGAGTGTTCACCAGAATCTGGCTGCCATTCTGGCCAATCGCCGGTTCTGCCCGAGGCTCGAGTCCCGCCAAGCGGAGAGGAACCGCGAAGACGACGTGATTGGCCAGGCGGACGGGCAGACACGAAACAACCGGCAGGTCAACAGCTCCGGCAACTCCGCGTCGCAGGCCGCTGTCGAGGCGACGTCGAGCCTCCCGATTGCTCATGCCAGCCCGGTCCCTCCTCCCCTCCAGCCTCGGGCCAATCCGTCAGTCCCGTTGGCTACGTGCCTGCTCGCCCACTCAGAGCAGACGAGTCGGCGTTTTTTGTGTCTCCCGCCGCGTCGGTTTCAAGTGCCCGTCAAGTCTGCACAACCGGCTCCACTTCGTCCACCTTCACTTTGCCCCTCTTCACTTCGACCGCCCTCTCAGCCGGTCAGCGGCTTCTCTACCAGCCACCGGTTCGCTTGACGTCGTCGCGACCGGCCGGTGGCAATGACTCGTCTCCCCCCTCTTCCATTCGCTCGCCGAGCAGGAGGGGGACCGACTTGTTAAAGGGACAATTA